TTTGTAGGATTAACATCAGAAGAACTCTATTTTTATGACACAAGACGTTCTCAAGGATGTCAAATATTGTTTTAAAAAAAATATGGGGCAGGGTTGGGGCAAAGAACAGACCCAATGCCCCTCCCCCCCCCCCACCCAGGCAAACTGATTGTAAACGTTGATGAACTGGGGTATTTCCTTCGAAGTTGGAGTGCATATGCCTGAGAGGTGATGACCCATTAGCCTGTAAAACGGATGTGTACGCACAGTTCTAGTTCTGTAACCTGACTAAAGCCCAGAAGTGGACGAAACATCACAACTTTCTGCCGCAGTTTACAGCCGGTAAACGCTAATAGAACATCACCGTCACCATCTTGTACTGTTTAGGCGTTAGCTAAAGCTGACAGTCAAAACCCTCATTACGTACTACTAGGTCATTGCTCCCGTACTGATTCCGGGGTCTCAGTTTAAAGGCGGGGGTGAGCAGGGGGAAGTGGCCAGAAAAGACCCACTCTACACCAATAAGCATGTGGAGGGAGACTGATTAGGGGTGTTTAATTCGAAGTCGAACTGCATCTGCCTAAAAGGCAAAAAACCAACAGTCTGCATACCAAAAAAAAAGCAAAATCTGTCAACCGGATATGCACGCAAATCTAATTTTCTGGATCACCAGTCTGGAAAAGGAAAACAGCCATAACATTCCGCTGGAGTCTACAGCCTTTGTGCGCTAAGAAGAAGAAGAAGAAGAAGAAGAAGAAGAAGAAGAAGAAGAAGAAGAAGAAGAAGAAGAAGAAGAAGAAGAAGAAGAAGAAGAAAAAAGAAGAAGAAGAAGAAGAAGAAGAAGAAGAAGAAGAAGAAGAAGAAGAAGAAGAAGGTATGCTATTCTGCGGATATGTGTCGATGTTGCATACCTACTCTATTTTTTTTTTTTAGCTTGGAAATGGAAATGAGATATTTGCAATATAGTCCCCCTGGAGATAGTTGTTTACAGGCGGACTGGGAGCCAAATCTCTACACCAGTGTTTTTCAACCTTTTTTTTTAGGTCGCCCTTTGAGTACATGTTAAGATCCCACACCCTTTGAATATATGTCAAGACCCCCATGACCCCTCCTTCCAACATAACAAAATGTAATCAAAAAAATGTTAACAGATTCCACAAGAGAAACAGAAAGTATGGAGATATGTTTTGGTCAAAATATATTATTAATCTATAATTAATTGGGCGTGTTATCCTTTTAAGACTGCCCAGGCTTTGAGGTTTGAGCTTTATCCACTTACTGACTTTCTACCCCACCAGGACATCACACAAGCGATAAACACCCGATGACACAAAGTGCCACTATGTGGATGAGGATCACCCGTGGAGAGGTCCCAGAAACCGCGTTCAGACAATTGGCCATATTTATGGCCTGCCTATATTGCGGCCCCTAGAAAAAGCCAGGGTGGGGCTTCAAATAACAACAATTTTCATCCTAAACAGAACGAAAATTTATTTTCCAAGTGTTTATTGTTTCAAAACATCAGATACAAATTCTCTTTATAAACAGAAGCAAAAACAATAAGGTGAGTTGCGAAAAATGATGATGATTCGTACCGTTTCTCATCAACCTTTAACAGGAAGTAGAAACAGTAGGAGGCAGAGAGGATCGGGGTTCGAGGAAAACTGGGGCTATTGGGTTTGTTGGCGGAAACGGTACTTTCGATGGTAATTTTTTACATTTTAAGAAATATATTTATACACTACAGAAGAAAGAGAGGGCACGAAAACGTAGCAGACGGACAGGGGGGGGGGGGGGGGGGGGGGGTTGGGGAGAGAAAGGACAGACAGGACCACTCATTATTTTGTACATTGTTGTGAAAGGTGAAAAAATTGGCATTTTATCCATTATTTACATTCCAGAGCAAATTGCATAAAGGACTTAACAAACATGTAAATAAACACCAGAGAAAAGAAAGGGACACAAACACGTAGCAGGCAGACGGGGCGGGGAGTTGGGGAAGAGGAAAGCACAAAGAAAAGATAGACAGGGCCCACTCATTCTTTCTGCGTTTCCTTACGGCTAACATCAAATATTGTGGAAAACAGTATCAAATTTTGACATTTTTAAAATGCATCAAACTTTTACACTTCGGACAAATCACAAAAAGGGACTTTACGAACATGTAAACTAACATCAGAAAAAGAAAATGGCACAAACACGTAGCATTCAGACGGGGGGGGGGGGGGGGGGGGTGGGGTTGGGGGCGTTGGGGAATAGGAAAGCACAAGGACAAAACTGGATTATTGGGCTTTATGACTGACTTTCTACCCCACTAGGACATCACACAAGCGATAAACACCCGATGACACAAAGTGCCACCATGTGGATGAGGATCACCGTGGAGAGGTCACAGAAACCGCGTTCAGCCTTTAGGCCATATTTATGGCCAGGCTATATTGCGGCCCCTGGCAAGAGCCAGAGTAGGGCTTCAAATAACGAAAAATTCATCCTAAAAAGGACGAGATTCGCTAATAGCGAATGAGTTTTTTTTATTATTATTTTGTGTGTGTGTGTGTGTGTGTGTGTGTGTCTGTCATTGGATGCTCTTTATTGTTTAAGTTTTTTGTTAAGTATAGTTGGCAGTTAAATTCAGAAAAAAAAGAAAACAAAGTTTGATAGAAACGCTTGGTTGCGTGTATTAGAATAAAACTATGTACACATACTGCGATATTCACTTTTTAAAAAAAATCCTGTGCCACCAGTGACATCATTTGCTTTCTACTTGACCCATTCATGATATTAATTTTTGGGCTTTATCGTATTAATTCGATTTTTTACCGGTAGATGTACAAACTGCTTATAAAAACAAAAAGATCCTTATCGTTTTGTTTAACAGTTAATATATATATATTATATATATATATAAATTTATAATTAAACTTAAAAAAACTGTAAGTCTGACGTAACGGAATATTAAAAGTACAAATGCACTCAATTTGAAAACTGCTTAAAGTCCCCTTGAAACCTGATTACGCCCCTGGGTAGGCGCGCCCTCAAGGATGGAAACCACTGCTCTACACCAACCTGACTCCGTTGTGTAATAGCCCTCTTCAGGGCTTGGGCAGCATGGAACGTGTTTCTTAGGGGAATCACCGACAGCCGGATACTGCACTGATTATCGGTTAGTTAAGACTTGACTGACTGACTGACTTACTTTCTACCCCACTAGGACATCAACCAAACGATCAACACCCGATGACACAAAGTGCCACCATGTGCCCTACCTGCGCGTTGGAGGTATATAGGCTGACCGTCGTTTCATTTGAACGAAGTTTTTTCGCCAGGGACACTAGATGAGTATCGTTTATTTTATACATTAGAGCCCTATGTAGTCACTTCATAGTTAGAGCATATTTGTGTATGTGTACTGTGTTGTCCTTTATGTGCTGATAAAGGCTAATCGCCGCAACGTCCTTTGTTTGTTTATTGTGATCGATTTTGTAAAGCTAACATAAACTAATTGTTGTTTCTTACCAACTTTTTCTCTTCCCTATAATTTTCTACTCCTTATAAAAACACCATGTGGATGAGGATCACCGTGGAGAGGTCCCAGAAACCGCGTTCAGACAATTGTCCATATTTATGGCCTGCCTATATAGCGGCCCCAGGCAAAAGCCAGGGTGAGGCTTTAAATAACAAACAAAGAAAAAAAAAAAATTTCCATCCTTAAAAGGACGTAGAACAATTAGTTAAGACTTGCGACCCGTTCTGTTTTTAAAGGTCTGCCTAGGACCCAGTACTTTTAATAGTCACCTTGAAGAACTTGTTATAATTTATAAATATTAGAAAAAAAAAAGGACTGCTTTCTAAAGCGGGTAGTCAGGTAGGTGGGTGCTTTGCTTGAAAAACAAAATCGTCACATTCAACCAGCATCCTCGAAGGGGAGCTTTAGGTTACAATTGTGACCAGGTTATGTGCGCAAAATAAAATGGCTTTTGCACTGCACGCCACCAATAGCCCTGAAAAAACCTCTTGCAGTGCTGATGCGATCAAAGGAGGCAGATCCAAACAATGTCCTGAACGGCGACGAAGTCGTCTACCTGCGAGCCACCAAGTCTTACCGTGTGATGAGGTTGTGTTCACATGAATACCGCTTACAGAGTATTTCGCCGCAAGTGAGATTGTGTTTAGATGTGCTTGCATCGTCATTTAACACATACGCAGAGACATTCACAAATCATTACTGCTCTGTTACACTTTACAACCAGTATTCAATATCCACTTTAAATAAACTCAGCATACAAGAAACGAGTCAGCATGAAACCCATTGTTCCATGTGTGGTTTAAGTTTAACCACTTGAGTTCTTTTAGGGAGATTTCAAAACTTCTTTTAAAGAGACGAGTTGCCATTATGAGTAAGTAACTGACGAAAGCAGAACAAGTTACTGGATAACACACACGCATAGTCAAGTGAATTACAGACAGTTTGTCATAACAATTTCTCAACGCCTGACGACTTTCTTTGTGTGCAATGAGTTAATGAGGGTGGGGATTAACATTGCCTTGGGGGTTTTTTCAGTGACTGAGTCATCGACATTTCGCATTCCCTAAATGGATGAATAACTTTTGAGGACAACAAGGTTTGTCGCGGCCTTAAAAAAAAAATCTAATGAATTGTTACAGATTTTAGTGTTCATTATTTCCATGGCTTAGAAAACTATTGGCATTTATAAACTACGATAAGGCAACGATAAGTTATAATAATATATCAAGACAAAACGAAACAAAAAGTCAAAAATTCCATTAGGATCTCCCCCCCCCCCCCCCCCCCCCCCCCCTTTCCACCTTTTTTTTCTCCCACAACACAAGGAGATGTGATTGTGAGCTTTGCATGCTTATCTCACTGTCTCAAAGAGGTAAGGAGTAAAAACTACACACCGCGAAAAAAAGGTAATGGAACACACACGAAAGTTAACGACAGCGGGTAAGTTGTGTAAAACTTCAGAGAGCGCCTACCTATTCTACATGACGTCACTTACCGACTGGATAGACAGAGGAGTGCTGAAATCAATACCTCCTTGAAGACGGAACCCCCAGGATACGCTGGAATCTGGTCTAACCAGTTGAATATACACCTTTTCCGCCGGTTTGTACTCCACGTTACTCATTGTAGTAGCTTCTCTGGTTGAATTTTGACAAATGTGAAGAGATACGAAGCACGGTAAGCCAGACAGAAAGACTTGCAAACTTCAGCACACTAACTTTCCCCTATATAACAAACAGACCGAAACGTTGGCTGGCGAATCCCTCCCTGCAGCAATTTGTGCACACGGCCCTTTTCTTGTGGTTTCCAATGACGTCACACAAGGTAAAATCTGACCACTCGCAGACAGGGGTTTCCCCAGGAATTCCAAAGTGGGCGTTATTTACAGCTCCGCCCAGAAACCAGGATTAAAAATAACATGAGGATCTCTGTTGTTGATTAATAGTTGAAGGGACGCGATTCATGTAAAACAGTATCTTCAAAATTTGTCTCTTTAGTTTGTATAACAGATCAGCATCATGGCATAAATACTCTGTTCTACTTCTAACTCAGGCCTGAGTTTCGAAAAATCTGAGCGCAGTGCACGAACTTCATAGCACCGGCGAGGATCCTGAAATACTTTTGGGCACATTTTTGAGGGACTCCGGCAAGTCCACGGACCACCAAATGGAAAACATTGAGTTAGTTAACGATGCTGGATATTCAAACAAGTGTTGCTGTGTGATGAGGTTGTGTTTTTCACATGAACACCGCTCACAGCGTATTTCGCCGCAAGTGACATCGTCCAACTGCCAAAGAATATATATATATATATATATATATATATATATATATATATATATATATATATATATATATAAGCTCCAAGGCTATTGAAAATGCCCACTTAGCACCTGCTTTAGGTATCTTGGGCAGTGTGGAGGCACAAATAGATCGTCAAAGTCTGAGAAGAATGGTGCTGCGAGGAGTGGATCTGGCTGATGCTCAGCACTCAGGGGACAGGCGAGACGAATATAAAATCAGACTTACAGGTACCAATGGAATAATAACTGCGATTGCTGCTGAAAATTGGGACGGAATACTTATGAAAATATCAGTTTTTCCAAAAATCTTGTTTAACCCTTATGGTTATTACTGGGATATGTAGTGTTCATCGATTTATATGAGAATACATTTATTGTAATTTATTTAAGAAAAAAAAATGTAAATTGTATCGTTTGTTGTTGTTGTGTGTATGTTTTGTATGTTCAATTGTATCGTTTCAATTGTTTTGTTTTGATTTAGGTTATAATTGTTAGTAAATTGCATGCACTATGAATAATTAAATATCTTACTAAGACTGTGTCATTGAAAGTGATGTATAATAATAGATTATCCCCCGAACAATCATGTCGTAAATAGGCTAAATAACTGTCGGGAAAACAAGAAGAGACCTACTGCCCCCCGAACAATCATGTCGAAATAGGCTATAATCTGGGATTTTCCTTTGAAGTCTGAGTTCATCTACCTGAAATGCAAGGAACCAACTATCTGCATACAGTTAATTAAGATATGTTAAACGGATGTGCACGCAACACTCAGGTTCTGGAACAAGACTAATGTCCAAAGGTGAACAAACAAGCAGAACTTTCCACTGGAGTTTACAGGCGGTGTACGCGAAGAAGAAGAAGAAGAAGAAGAAGAAATAAATTGCTGTACCTTGCCACAAAAGCGGTAGTGTCGATTCTTATTTCACAATTGCCTCCCCTTGACAGAGTTCACGTCCATGATCATGGCGGTGTACACACAGAGAGAGGCTGATATTGTACTTTCTGATGTGCATGTTTCTTTATCATATTCTGAGAATATCAGCAAGGGAAAGGACTCCTACTCCTGCATAGCAGAGACATGTATGTAACTCAATAAGTTTAAAGCTGCAAACAACTATAAAACTCTCTCTCTCTCTCTCTCTCTCTCTCTCTCTAAGAACACTCGGTTGAGTTGTGATTTGTGATTGTCATGAAAATGTTTGTCACTGTCAATCAGCAGTGATTATTATGTATTATTATTAGACTCCAGTTATCATGAACTCGATTTTCGATGCCTTGAAATTCTTGTTAACGAAGTTTAACCATGGATGGCTTAAGTCAGTGGCATAGAGGAATATCATAAATGGATTTGATCCAGAACACCAAAGACCGAGATTTGTGGAGATGTATGAACGCCTACGCCAGTGGCAAGGCACTGGAGAATATATATATATATATATATATATATATATATATATATATATATATATATATATATATATATATATAATCATATGCATGGGAGACTGCTTGTATATTATAGAATTTAGAAGTATAAATATAAATCGCAGGTAGTTTGCATAGGTAAGGTATTCAGGTGAACGACATTTGCTTTGTTACATTGATGGATTTTATCAAGTTTGTTGTCTGTCTTCACCTATAGAGCTATAATTTAAACTCTTGCTTTCCATCTTTTGTTCCACCAGTTTGTTTTAACCCTAAAATGTAAATATTTGCCTTGAAGGAGTTTGCTCATGTTAAATATATTGGTTAGATGTACAAACCGTACTTATTAGTGTTTTTTCACTGTAATTTGTTTATTAGCTCAAAGGGTTCTGAATTGATACATGACAGGCTAGATGTGTTCAAGGTCTTTTGCATTTCCAAAATGAATGTGGAATTAAATTAATAAAAGCTAGTGAACAATGCAGAGGCACAGATAGATCATTATGTTCTAGGGAGAAAAGTTTAGCTAGAAGTGACCAGAAGATCTGGTCAGTACTTTTACTTAGAGGAAAGGCAAGACGGGCATATAATTAAACTTCTCCAGGCACTGTTAGCATTAGAACTCTTTGCTAGCTGCTGAAGATAAGGTTAGAGCGCTTACGAGAATGCCTTGCATGCTATGGTGTCAGTTCTTAGCTCAGTACTCAACACTTGTTGGCTATCCCCTGAATTACGGACCCAAATTATCGACGCCGAAAATATACCCTAACAGGGTCTCAGTCACATGTTAATTGCACACTTCTGGTGACTTACGTCACCGCTGAGAGTATCTCCCACGCCGCTACACACGGCGTGGATTGGGGCTAAACTAGATAGCTGGGACTCACGAGCAGCAGCTACCGCATCTCCTGCAGCTTCCTTCATTTTATTTGCTTGTGAGTCCCAGCCATCTAGTTTAATCCCAATACACGCCGTACGTAGCGGCCTAGGAGATACTCTTGGCGGTGGCGGTATAATCCCCAGAAGTCCGAAATTTGGCGGTGTCAGTATAGTCCCCGGAAGTCCGCAATTGACATGTGACTGAGGCCCTGTTAGGGTATATTTTTGGCCTCGATAATTTGGGACCATTATTCAGAGGATAGCCCACTTGTTTATTATCTTTATGTAAAAATGTCCTAGTTTAAAAAAAAAAATTTATTCACCTTTAATTTTCTCCAGGGCTCACAAGGTTTTATTTTCACCTACCACAGACTTGCAAAACAGCACCACAACCATCGCCAACATTACAAACTGGCAGTCTGGGCTGCATATTGGATAATGACTGCTCATCTAGTCCTACAACACATATAAAATTGGCATGTGACACACTAGAGAAGCCATCACCACTACTAGATGATGATGGTGACTGCATACTTCTTAGGAGAGGATCACAGAAACTGTTTCCAGATGGTTCAAAAAGCAGTTTTCAACACCAGATGACTTCTGGTGTAGATCAAGAAATCCATCCCGTCCCACCTGTTTTGTTACCAGTCTGTGAAACTACTTCTTGCTTGTTGGTGAAAGACCTTCCAGCATTATGTGTCAATGGAGGCAGAACTCTTGTGGGAGCAAAGCCAGAAAACTTGCTGTGCAGTGTTTCAGATGCTAATGATATAAACTCACCTAATGGAATTTCTTACTGTACTGAAGATATGTCAGTTTGTAACAGTTTTCATGGTACTTTAGATAAAAACTGTCTAGAATTGGATGGAAATAAAAGTATAATTCTTAAGAGAAGACATGCAAATACAGCAAATCAGAATATTTTAAAAGAAGGTAATGATAATGAGGTATTTCCATTAAGCCAGGAAAGGGATCAGAGTATATTTAATTTGTCAACAGACAGGAATTGTGTTAGTTCTCCATCAGTGATTGGTCCACTCTCTGATTGTGGTTTTCTGTCTGTGCAAGAAACTCAGAGCAAACTGTTGAAAAGTCATACTACAATATGTGAGACTGATACAAGCAAAGGTACAAATACTGAGCACTGTAAAAACTTCTTGGAGCAGCCTGACCCTTTACACCAAAAACTTGCATCATCTATTCATGGGTTTCATGCTTGTGAAGAAGATAACAAAGGTTGGTCCTGTCAAGTAAAATCAGAAATGGCAGCACATTGCCTCTCACTAAATCGGGCACAATTAGGCCAGGATTTTAATGAGTCATTGAATGGCAAGAAACTTAAATCTGCACAGTGTGAGTCACTGAATAAAATCCCTCATTGTAATAGTGTCAATTTTTCAGTAAGTGAAATAAAAACACTTGGCAATATCTCAAATCAAGAACATTTTCAGAAAGAAGAGAAGATGATTCCTGGCGTTATTACTCTTGGTAAGTATTATAATTCCCCGTAACACTATTTAAAGTTGCATAGTTTTTAGAGCAAGTTTATGAAGTAGAGCGTTCACCAAGGGCCATATGAGTCATATTTGGGCCACACACAACAGCTAATTGAAAGCATTTAATAATTTAAAAAAAATGATTGCAGAATATTCCTTATGTGCGGCTGTTTACAAACCAACCTTTTTTTTTTTGCTGTTTGGGATTTTACTAGGCAATTTGTGTTCAGCAGTTTGCAGTGTTTTCTCACTGGTCGATGCTTATATTATTGTCAAAATCTCCCTGTGTGGGTTTTGGGGGCCCCGTTATAGGGAAAACAAGAATAGAACCACTGCCCACCCAAAAGCATGTCATGAGAGTCGACTGATTGGGAGCTTCCTTCAAAGTCAGAGTGCATCTGCCTGAGAGGCAAAGAACCAGCAGTCTGTATACAGATGAGTCAGATCTGTAAAATGGATGCACACGCAACACGCAGGTTCTGGAACAGGGCTGCAGTCCAAAAGTGGACAAACAAGCAGAATTTTCCCGCCAGAGTTTACAGCTGGTGAACATGAAGAAGAAGAAGAATTGTCAAAATCAACGCAAAGTGGTCTGATGCCAAACTTCCTCCAGGTGAATTGAACCTGGTATTGTAGAATTATTAAACTGCATTCATAACTTTACAATGTCAAGTTTTGTTACATAAAACATACTATTCTTTAAAATGTTGACCTCTAAACTATGTAAATTTTGAATTAATTCTTTTCTCTGTAATTTTCAGAGCACAGTATGGGAACTTCTATTCCTGAAGTTGGATACCAGGTATGTCAGTAACCAGTGTCAATGAATAGTCACTTGTTCTTTGTTTTATGCTGTCCTTTTAAGGGGAGGAACCAAGATAAGAATCGTAAATTTTGACAATTTTGGGTTTCCATACTTAATTCTCAATTATTAGAAGTAGAAAACAGCTATGCAAACAGGGTTTAAAAAAGAATGTGTTTTAACTCTTGGAGTCCCGGGGTTTAGCATCGGAAGCCCAAGAGGTGGTAACACAATTTTGAAAAGTCACAAGTGTTACGCATTAAAACAGATTATATTAATTCAGCCGCAGCGCAACACACCCGTATTATGTATCACAGTGACCAGTGATTGTTGGGGAATAATATCAGATTACTATAATAAAAATTAATTTTGTTAGTAGTTCATTATTACTAAATACACAAAAGGTATGTTTAGAGAAATTAGTAAAAAGAAATAATAATTTTTCCACTTACCACCCTGGTGCTCAAGGAAAACTCGATAAAATATATCCACAATGAATCACAATTGAACAAGAACCACTTAGTAATAAATAAATAAAAAATAAATACAGTCTGCCCATTAGATGTAATTCCAGAAAAACTTTTAGAACATCATAACAGAGCACCTTTTTTGTTTTAAAAAAACGACCTCTGAAAACAATTAGTATTTTCAGAACTAAAAAAAAAAAAAAATAAACTTTATATAACGCTTCAATTTGCCCGTAATTTTGTAGCCTATGTTTCCAAATAATAAGGGAATCAAACTAGACCTGACACTGAAGAATATTGCCTTTTCACTAATATTTATTCTTTTTGTACCAGGAGACTTTGTTATTGTTATAGGCTTTGCGTGAGGTATGTCTCAGAGCTATCCCTCAACAAAGTTTGAATCTATCAATGACTGAAACAAGTCTAACTTCAAATAATTCTGATAAACACGTGTTTTATTTACAAATGAGGCTTCTAAAGTCAAAAATCGTGTTGGCATGAAGGAAGGAATCTGCTCGGAGGCAATATTGTTTTCACAAAGACAGTACCTCGATAAAGTTCACAAACATGCTACATTTTAGCTTTCAATCACGTTTCTTTTAAATATCCCAAATGGTCACCACATGCGGCTTCGTACACAAAAAACTAGAAATACCATTCAAAACTGCTGGTTTGCGTTGTTATACTGGCCAGTGGTCAATTAAAAACATGAACTCATCACACACCGATTGGACTGCTGTGAAGTAACCGATTAGCGCCTGATGCGTTCCTTGGGACTCAGAGAGTTAAAGCTCTATTTCTGCATTTGCTGAAGTATGTATAACTTATATATCTAAGTGACACTTTGCCCAGGTGGGTTTCAGGATCCGATTTTGGGGCGTAAAAAGAATAGAATCACTGTCTTTCAACAAGCAAGTCATAAATTCTTGTTAGGGAATTGCAGAAGTTGGATGTGTTAGGCAGAAAGGCATATATATCACGGCCTAGCTGTAAACCACAGCATAATGTTTTTTCAGAGCAAACAAAGAAGAAGAACAAGAAGAAAATCACACTTTGCGTTCTTATTTCTTAACAAAACTGATATTGGTTGATTCATGTATTTCTGTAGATATTTGAAGGGATGGGTGAAATCATTTATATGGTTTTAAGTTATGTATATATGCAATTGGTTGTTGAAATAATCATGCTAAATGGCTTATCGACAAGGCTGCTGTGGTGGGCAGATGAACAATGGACCAGACTGGCATACTGAATACAGTAGAAATACAGCATTTGCATGAATCAAGTGATGACAGTGAATCTATGACCATAACCAGACTGCAAAGTCAGTAATGGTGAGGCCAGACAAGACCACTAGGCAGGAAGCCAAAGAATAATAATGAATGAAACAAAACTGGTATCGTCAGCTGTTAAATGGTGATTGACATTCTGAGGAGGAGATCCAAGCACTTTTGGACTGACTAGTTTGATTTACTGTGAAAACTGTCTGTCTGCTAACTAATTAACCACCAATTGCCTATTTATCAAAGCAGAAAAATATACTTGAATTTGTTCATGGGTAATCAAAGCATATACGTGAATAAGTTGTTGCTTAACAGTAGCAATTACATGAGTTAGTAATTAGTTAGCAGAAGAAATTGTGTGTGGGTTCCAGGTCTCATTTTGTGGGAGAAGAGCCCCTAACAACCATATTGTATGTTTAATGTTTAATTAAGAATCGACATCACAGCACTCGGGACATTGCCATAAGCGCTGCTTCCCCATCTTTAGCAGCAAGCGCAGAGTTCTAATTCCAGTTGTATGAATAGCAGTCTGATTATATATCCGTCTCACCTTTCCCTTGAGTGCTGATTTTCGACCAAATTCCCTGGTCACTCCTCGCAGGGCCATTCTCCTCAGACCATGATAATCCATCTGTGCCTCTGTACTGTTCACTCGCCCCCAAAGGGCCCTTACAACATCTAGCTTTTCATGCATGAATTCACCACCAAGTTGTGCAGAGCCAGCCAGTCTGTATGTCTGTTCATTTTCTAACACACCAGCATACTTGGGGAAAATATCCAAAGGATGCTAACTGCAATAATGCTGGACGCTGGAAGCGATAACGGGTCATGCCGGTCTCCACCTTCCTCAACATGCTCTGTGAGTCAGTAACAAGTGTGACATGTGTGTACAGTTGAATCTCAAGCAATCAAAAGACTACAGTGACTGCCACCACCTTCATTATCAAACTAGATGTTGTGGTGTCATATGCCAGGCTTTGTTGCACTTTTGCTACCCCTCAACACAGAGCCAACTGTTTAACCATATTGTAAAAGTCTATTAATTGGGGTGTTTCCTTCGAAGGCTGAGAGGCCAGGAACCAACAGTCTGTAAACAAATAAGCTGGATCAGTAAAAATGGATGTACATGCAAAACTAAAGCTCTGAGATCAAAGTCCAGAAGTGGATGAACAACCAGCCAGAAGTTTATGCCTGAGATTATGGCCAGTGAACACACAGAAGAAGAGGAAGAAGAAGAAGAAAGTTAACAGAAGTGTTTACGTGAATTGGTTATCATTTAACAAAAGTGTTTACATGAATTTGTTATTGGTTAACAGGAGAGTTGAACAGTATGTACATTAATTGATTATTAATTAATAAAGTGTGTAGATGATTAAGTTATTAGTTAACATAGATATGTGTAGATTAATTGGTTATTAATAGAAATTGTATACATCAGTTAGCTAATGATTAAAGAAGTTTATACATGAATGGGTTAATAAGTGGATTAGTTATTGATTAACATAAGTGTGAAAATGAACTGTTTATTTTTGAAAATGTCTACATAAATTATTTATTGGGAAACAAGAATACAAGTTTTATTCAGGTAAGACATAGCTAGCACATCCAAGTGAGATATCATTGCCAGATGACTATTCTGAATAGCTAAGAAGAGTATCTAGTTTGGTCTGCATTGTGATGAAGCCTCCTGAGGACTACAACCTTTGAACCTTACAGGAGAGTCACAGAAAGGTGCTAGAGTAATGATAGGCACTGCAGCCAGATTTTGTAGTCGCCATTTGAAGAGCTGATGACCATGCTTGGAATCAATGTGCTTCTTTTCATTCAGGATAAAATGAGGCCATCACCACTTCTCAATTCTTCCAGTCACTCAAGAAATGCAAATACTTCCATGCATTTGAAATAAATTTGTCTCTATTTGCAACGCTGTCTTTCATATAGGCTTCACTGAGTTCACTTAGTTTTCCACACAGTTTTGCCTTGGCTATAGTTTGTATCTGTGCCAAAAGGTTTGGTTAACTCTGTTGCATGCAGGGCATTATCGGAATATGGGATCAGCCGACTAAAATGTGTACAGATGGCTGGTTTCTCAATCTTGAATTGTATATAAACTTGGCTACAGATTCACCTGTGTCTTGTGTGACACATCTTTCATTGCAAGGTTCCTGTTATAAGTGTGAGTAATCTTCTTCTTTCTGTTCTCCGGCTCTAAACTCTGGAGGAATGTTTTGGTTGTTTCTTCACTTCTAGACTTAATAGTCTTGTTCCAGAATTTAAAATGTGCATGCAAATTCATTTTATAGATTTGGCTCATTTTTATGTAAACTGTTCATCCCTCGCCTCTCAAGCATTTGCACTCGGACTTCGAAGGAAACGCCCTTAATTAGTCAGTTGTTACAACATGTTTGTTGTGGGGGCAGTGGGTGTATTCTTTTTTCCTCCACAATGGGACCCCAAAACCCACACAGGAAAATTTGAAGTCAAGAAACCAGTTTATTAACTGGTATATTTCTTTGTGGAAACCATTGTAGCATAGCAGCTAAATGCCTGCCTTTTTTACCCAAAGGTCTATGGTTCAAATCCCTAGATTTCTTTCACAATTGATCTTGGTTGCTAGGTAAACCCAGCCTAAAATAGATACCAAATAGCATCCTGAGAAGTTAAGGCAGCCAGCCCAGTGTTGACCACATCACATATTTAGCTTTACAAATATAGGTCTAGCCAGGGCCCATTTTTTTCCCCTAGAAAAAAATGGTGCTGGTTCTCACCGCAAGTTGTCTGATAAAAGATGCCACACAGTTTCTGTTACAGCAGCACTGCAAAATAAAGATGCCAGTACTCCACCAGTCTAACACTATATACCTAACGTGCTGAAGACATGATAAAGGTCCTTAAATTTCATGGTATCTTCCACAGAAAATATGTCAAGCAGCAAATTGTGCGACCTTGTTTTTTGTATTTTCACAACTGAAATTGATAGTTATTTTTTTTTCCATCTCACAGGTCTGGTCTGGGGCCTTACTGTTGTGCGATTACCTCCTTCATAATTGTGCAGAACTTGATAAAGCCGTAGTTCTTGACCTTGGGACTGGCACAGGCATTGCTGCCATTGTTGCTGCCATGTTTGCTCCAAGAGTGTTGTCTACAGGTGGGTATCAGCGCAAGGAAAGTAGGTATTTTGACTCATATGTTGGAGATTACAGAAGATAAGGAAAGCTTGGCATCTAGAATTCAACAAAGTTAGTAGATAAAATACAGTGTCTTTTTCCTTATAATGACAGTGGCACATTGGGCATATGAAACTAAACAGCTCATATGTCAGAGATTGCAGATGATAATCACATTGTCGTGGAAAGTTGGCCGATGAGTAAAGAGTTCTTTGGAAATGAAGTTTTTTTTTTTTTAAGCAAATGATGAGAATACCCTGGACAGATAGAAAGAGTAATGAAGACTTCTAGTGGCACATGAGGCTTCAGAGAGGACTTTCCATGCTTTCCTGTCCTGTGCAATCTTCAGTGCAGTTTTCCATGTCAAAGATGCCACACTCAGGTCACTTTCCATCGTTGGTCTCCATGTTGTTTTTGGGCGCCCCTTTTTTTTTCCCCTCTAGTATCCATGTGAGAACTGTTTTGGCAGGTATATCATGATTCATTCTCATAATGTGGCCAAGCCATTTCCATCTTCTCTTGGTTATCATACCGTCTAGAGTTTTTTGGTTTGTGACTTGAAGTAGTTTAGTGTTTGAGATTTTATCTGGCCAGAAAATTTTGAGTGTTCTACCTAGACATGTGTGGTGGAAGGTGGACAGCTTGTGTGCATCCTTTTTGGTCCTTCTTCAGCATTCTGCTCCATAAAGAGACTGAGAGAGAAGATACTAGACAGTTTGACATCATGTCATTGAGGATCATCAGTGTCAGAGTTGATTGAAAATGCTCAAGACCGAAGGTTGTGGATAGAAATGACTATCAACGCCACACAGCATGGACTTTGAGAAGAAGAAGGACAGCTTGGCATGAGTCTGTGATTCAAAAAAGTAAGTAGATAAAGGGAAGGACTCTTTTTACTCCAGTGGGATTTATGGCATAGGATGCTAGACACATGTTTTCCTACACCAAACGACACTACAGAAAATGAGGCAGAAACCGACCTCAGCGAAGTTGGATACAGGATACTGAAGATGCTTTGGCTATGAAAGCACACAGGGCCGGAGAATTGGCAAGAGAAAGAGAGACTTTCAGGCGTGCCTTGATGAGAGTCATTCTCTAAAGGACATGCTGACTGATTAGTTGAATCAACACTAGGAGGGTAATATTGTCAAAATCACACCCGCTAAGTACAGTACCGAGTACCCATTTTAGGCTGGGTCGATCTGGAAGGCAAATTCAGTTTTGAAAACAGTCTTGACTCAGTGCGGTTTCAGTTTCAGAACTTTCAGGCAGGCAGAAACGTATTGCCACTATGTTATCATGGCTCACAGTTCAATAAAGCGCAGGGGATAGAGGGCAGAAAAAGACAGAAGTCTTACAAGCTCTTCAGTGTAGGAAAGAAAACAAAGTTGACAGATTTTGTTTATGAACCTTTTATTAAAATATACTGACCCTTCTTTGACACAGATTATTTGCCAGGTGTTGTTGGCTTAGCAGAAAGAAACTGGGAGAGGAACAAAGACCTTCTACCTCTCAGGGCCTGTGATCAGATGTGCTTCAAAATCTTGGACTGGACAAGGGAATGGAGATCTCTTGATTCTGGTTAGTTCTGGTTAGTTCTGGTGCAGTTCGAAACAATTTGATTGATCATTCGGTGTTTTTAATTTCATTTTTTGTGTGTGTGTTTTTCATTTCTCTTCTGGGCTATCCGCTGAATAACGGGCACATATTATGGCGGCCAAAAACAGGGCCTCGCTCACGCGGCGTGGGGGCTACTCTCGGCGGTGGCGGTAGTCGCTAGAAAACCACAAATTAGGTCGCCGGAAGGGCGTAAATGACACGTGACTGAGGCTCTGTTAGGTTTTTTGGCGGCCGCCATAAAATGTGCCAGTTATTCAGAGGATAGCCCTCTTCTGACTCATTCTTACCTGAGCCTGAGTGAATGCTACCTGAGCCTGAGTGAATGTTATCTGACTCTGAGTGAATGTTACCTGAGTCTGAGTGAATGTTATCTGACTCTGAGTGAGTGTTACCTGAGTCTGAGTGAATGTTATCTGTCTCTGAGTGAATGTTATCTGACTCTGAGTGAGTGTTACCTGAGTCTGAGTGAATGTTATCTGACTCTGAGTGAATGTTATCTGAGTGAATGTTACCTGAGTCTGAGTGAATGTTATCTGAGTCTGAATTAATATTACACAAGTCTGATTGAATGTTACCTGAGTCACTGTTACCTGTGTCTGAGTGAATGTTACCTGAGTCTGAGTGAATGTTACCTGAGTCTGAGTGAATGTTATCTGAGTCTGAGTGAATATTACCAGAGTCTGAGTGTATATTAGTTGAGTCTTGTGTAAATGTCATCCAGCAGTCACTTATCCAGCAGTCACTCTGTGACAGGACCTCAACATTTACACAGCTCTAAGTCAGTTTGTATGTGTGTGCATTGCATTGTGTTTGCATCATATAAAATATAGTGACTCAATTTTTGGTGTGAAAAAAAAAGTAAAAGTTCTTTTAATGGCAGTGATTTGCCAGGCAAATAATGTTGGACCCACATTTCAACAGACCAGTCAGCATCTGATGTGTTAACATTGCATCAGCTGCCATTTACTTCCACGGATCTAGGAGTCGACATCAGTTGTCACAAATCCATCCCAGTCAGCAGGCAAGCATGTAGCCACTGTGCTGCTATAATATTCAGTAATTTGAGGTTGACTGTGAGTGTTTACTTGAGGTTTTTTTTTTTTTTTTACTGGGAGGGACAGAGGAAGACATACAGTCACGTCTGAACAAAGCTAGATCTGCTTTTGGAAGGATGAGGCAAACAACAATTACTGCAGAGGAACGAAACTCCGACTCTACAAGAGCATCATTTTGCCAGTTCTTCTTTATGGAGCGGAATGCTGGAGAATGACCGAAAAGATGCACACAAGCTGTCCACCTTCCACCACACAGGTCTACATAGAATTATCAAACTTTTCTGGCCAGATACAATCTCAAACACTAAACTACTTCAAGCCACAAACCAAGAAACTTTAGACAGTATGATTACCAAGAGAAGATGGAAATGGCTTGGCCACGTTATGAGAATGACTTCTGATATACCTGCCAAAACAGCTCTCACATGGACACTAGAGGGAAAGAGAAAACAGGGGTGCCCAAAAACAACATGGAGACGAACGATGGAAAGTGACCAGAGTGCGGCATCTTTGACATGGAAAACTGAACTGAAGATTGCACAGGACAGGAAAGCATGGGAAGTCCTCTCTGAAGCCTCATGTGCCACTAGGCATAACAAGAACTGATGTGAGTGTTTACAAGAGACCTGGAAACTCAGGTCACTTGAAAAAATGCGCCTCAGTGTAGATGTGAACCTACGACCATCAGGCCAACAGGCGAACATTCTAGTGACTGTGCAGTTACAGCTCCCTATAACAGGTATACAAATGTTTGGAAACAATTTGTTCTTAGCTTCCTATATGTTTTTACCTTTCATACTGGCTTTGACCTGTCGAGAATTTATTTGTGTAGATCGTGCTGTTCTCCTTTGTAATTTAGTATGCATCATCATTATCATCATCATCATAGTTCCCTAATACCACATATCATTGGGTGTCTGGTTACTGAAGACAGATCAATTGCATCCACTTCTGTAGGCCAAGGGTAATAGATTTCTTCTCTCTCCTCCCCACATTCACCAGTTGTAAACTCCAGCGGAAAAGTTCTGGTTGTTCGTCCACTTCTGGACTCTAGTCTGATTCCATAACCTAAGTGTGGCATGCACATCCATTTTACAGATCTAGCTTATTTGTATGCAGACTGTTGGTTCCTCACCTCTGAAGCAGAGGCACCCCGACTTTAAAGGAAACACCTCTAATTAGTCACCTATTATATTATGAAGGCAGGGAGAGGGGGGGGGGGGGGAGGAGTCTGTTTTTCCACTCTCAAAATGGGCCACTGAACCAGTACAGGGAGTTCACATGTTAAGGTTCAGTTTCACAGCCATATGTAAAGGTACAGATAGGTGGGGCTTTAAGCAGTCATAATATTGATTTTACACAAGATTTTTTAGATCTCTTTTATTTTGCATCATACAAGTGAATATATACTCGTACTTTATCTGCATCCGCAGCCCCAGAAAGTAAGTACAGCTTCACATCTTCTGACCTCAAGCTGATTGATGAGGCCACGCTTATTTTAGCAGCTGAAGGTACTTGATTGTTGTTTTATAAGTGTGACTATATTAATGTTGGTGTTCAGGAAAGAAAAGACTTGAAGTATTCTTGCATGTTTTAAAATGATTCACAATTTCTGTTTTTTTTTTTTTTTATTAAATTGTAAAGTTTGAAGCACTTATGTTAGGCATGTGTGTTCCTGACTCAGCCATTGGTTAGCTTGATTTTCAGTTATGAACACGATGAAAGACATGGAGCTTTTGAACTTTCAAAATTCTTTGTCACAGTCGGTTTAATTTGCGTAGTCAGCTATATTATGAAGCAGCTTACAGTGTATTATTCTATTTGGAGCATTGACAAACGTGGATAGAGAACTAATGAATAATGAGGAGAAAAGAGCAGATGAGAACAAATTGAGAGGAGAAGAATAGATAAAGAAAGTAAAAGAGAGATAGGAAAAGAAAAGGGAATCAGAGATAATCTAACGAAGAAGAGATGAAAAAAAAGGGTGGGGGTAGGAGTCTCTTCTTCAAATTACCTAAGTTTAACATTGGTGAAGATGAAAGGATCATCTTTGTGTTCTTTCAGATGAAGTATATAAATTGATCTTGATTGCTTTAAGGTTGTTTTTGATGCTTTCGTTCCATGTTGTGTGTGGTCATCCTCATGATTTGTTTATTGTATTTCTTCAGCAAGGCTTTCTTTGGCAGTTGATACCAGGGGCAGTCTCATCAGATGGCGAAACCATCTGATTCATTCCTCTTTAATGAACTGTATGACTGGTTTCTTCTTAGTGTTCATCCACTTTTGGATTTTGGTCTTATTCCAGAACTTAAGTTTTGCATGCATGTCCATTTTACAAATCTGGCTTATTTGTATGCAGACTGTTGGTTCCTTGCTTCTCAAGCAGATGCACTCCAAATTTGAATGAAAATTTTTTTTTTAAACTTAAGCTCCTCTTCTTTCTGAATTGGCTCACCTAAGACATATTATCTGGCAAAGGAACATAAACAAAGAAAAGATAAAGGAATTGGCAAAGAGGAATGGTAAAAGGGAACAGATGCAGAGAAGGGGGGGGGGGGGGATTTCTTCAGGAAAATCACATTGATTCATGACCCCTTTTTAATTATTTATTCAGCATTCATGGGGTGAAATCAGATAGAATGAAATGGATTCAGAGAAAGACAGAAACAGAGAGACAGAGGTATTGTAAACAGAACTCTTCATTTCTTAAATTTCTGTCAAAATCAAAGACTGTGTTTTATGTTTCAGCAATATATGATGATGAATTGACAGATGGACTGTTTACAACAATCTACAATCTTCTGATGAAACCTCCGTCCAAAACTGTAGTCCTCACATTAGAGAGACGGTGAGTAAATGTCAGAACTGTTACCTTCTGTGATTTCAGTCTGTGTCACTTTCTGTGTCTGCCGGTCTTGCATGAAAAGTCATTATATTAGTGGATTTGTGAGTAAAGTCATAAGGTTAGTTGCATATTCTTTACACCCTGGCTGTTGTGTGGTTTTTCTAGGCAAATTTACGTCCAGTAGTTTGTCATTGCTTTCTGGACGGTCGGCTTCCTTGATACCACTGGAAACCAATGCAAGGCGCATGGCCTGCAGCTGGGATCGAACCTGGCATCCTGGCATTACGAAGCGTTTGCATCGACTTAGCCAACAAATAAAGTCAACAATACCTGATTTTGCCTGACCAGTTCTCCTTGTTCTTCTTCTTCTTTTGTCCTATTGCTTATGATGTAAAGCATCACAGAGAGGAGTTAGATGTAGTTTTCTGTTTTACTTGTTGCATAGCTGGTGTAAATGTCATATTGCATAGCTGGTGTAAATGTCATGTTGCATAGCTGGTGTAAATCTCATGTTGCATTTCTGTTCTCTCTTTTACTCCCTCCACTTATCTCTGTCTTGATCAACCTCTTGTCTTGTAGCCTGCTGTTCTCATATACAGTCGAGTCCACTTAAGTTGAACTTGGATAAGTCGAACTCAGATAAGTCGACATGACCAGCTTAGTCCTGGCAATTTTCTCTATTGTGTGTGCTGTCTGGATAAGTAGAAGTCCTGATAAGCGGAAGCATTTTCTTAGGTCCCTGCCACTTCTACTCATCCAGCCTCGACTGTAGTAGGCTCCAGTTGCTGGCTGATTTTGTTCCATTCTGACCAGATGCCCCCATCATTGAATTGTTTGATGTTCTGTGAAATCATCTGTTGGTATTGTACCTACCATGTTCTTAGTTGTTTGTGACTGTGCACCTACTATGTTCTTAGTTGTTTGTGACTGTGTACCTACTATGTTCTTAGTTGTTTGTGACTGTGTACCTACCATGTTCTTAGTTGTTTGTGACTGTGTACCTACCATGTTCTTAGTTGTTTGTGACTGTGTACCTACCATGTTCTTAGTTGTTTGTGACTGTGTACCTACCATGTTCTTAGTTGTTTGTGACTGTGTACCTACTATGTTCTTAGTTGTTTGTGACTGTGTACCTACCATGTTCTTAGTTGTTTGTGACTGTGTACCTACCATGTTCTTAGTTGTTTGTGACTGTGTACCTACCATGTTCTTAGTTGTTTGTGACTGTGTACCTACCATGTTCTTAGTTGTTTGTGACTGTGCACCTACTATGTTCTTAGTTGTTTGTGACTGTGTACCTACCATGTTCTTAGTTGTTTGTGACTGTGTACCTACCATGTTCTTAGTTGTTTGTGACTGTGTACCTACCATGTTCTTAGTTGTTTGTGACTGTGTACCTACTATGTTCTTAGTTGTTTGTGACTGTGTACCTACCATGTTCTTAGTTGTTTGTGACTGTGTACCTACCATGTTCTTAGTTGTTTGTGACTGTGTACCTACCATGTTCTTAGTTGTTTGTGACTGTGTACCTACCATGTTCTTAGTTGTTTGTGACTGTGTACCTACTATGTTCTTAGTTGTTTGTGACTGTGCACCTACTATGTTCTTAGTTGTTTGTGACTGTGTACCTACCATGTTCTTAGTTGTTTGTGACTGTGTACCTACTATGTTCTTAGTTGTTTGTGACTGTGTACCTACCATGTTCTTAGTTGTTTGTGACTGTGTACCTACCATGTTCTTAGTTGTTTGTGACTGTGTACCTACCATGTTCTTAGTTGTTTGTGACTGTGTACCTACCATGTTCTTAGTTGTTTGTGACTGTGTACCTACCATGTTCTTAGTTGTTTGTGACTGTCTTTTTTTGGTTTTGTTTTGTTTTGCTCACCATATTTCTCAGACATCCTTATTATTGCCTTTTCTGCTCAAAGTATTCTGAAAATTTACTGAAATAAAGGACCCCTTCAGATGTTAAGATCCAGTTTCACAGCCATATCTAAAGGTACTGATAGGTGGTGGGTGCTTCAAGCAGTCCTATTATTGTTTTTCACACAGAATTTTTTAGATCTCTTTTATTGTGCATACAAGTGAATATATATACTCATAGTTGATCTTCATCAAGAAGATGAATAGACCCACTGCTCCCTAATGATCTTGTCGTAAAAGTCGGCTAAGGTGTGTTTCCTTCGAAGTCTGAATGCCTCTGCCTGAGAGGCGAGGAACCAGCAGTCTGCATACAATTAAGCCAGATCTGTAAAATGGGTGTGCACACAAAGCAACTTCTGGAGCAAGACTAAAGTCCAGATGTTGAGGAACAACCAGAATTGTCCATAGAAGTTTAGAGCTGGTGAGCGCTTAAAAAGCACTTCATGTGGGGAATATTTTACTAAGATCCCTGGAGGTTATCACGGTAGGTACAGAGTATTAGCTCTGTGCAGCACTTTTGACAGAAAACAACCTTTGTGCAGGTGGGGGGTGGGGGGGGGGGGGAGGGGGTGGGGGGGGGTGGTGGGGTGGGAATGAATGATGAGAATACCTTGAACAGATAAAAAAGAGCAATGAAGATGACAGAAACTGACTCACTAAGAGAAATAATTGCTGACATTAGGAGACAATCTATATTCTTTGGACATGTCATAAAATGGAGTACATTCTGACGGCAGGAAATTTGAAGGGGAAAAGAGGCAGAGGGAGACAGAGAGAGAAGATATTGGACAGTTTGCCATCAGGGAAAAGAAGATCATCTGTGTCAGAATTGATTAGCGTAGTTGGCTAAACCTGACTTCGCGATGTCCGGGTGACGAACTCCTTGTGGTCCGGGTTCACGCCCGGGGGTAGGAAAAAAAGCCACATTTCTCCCAGATGTACTGTATTTATTTGGAATCAAGGCCGAAGGGTTGTGATATCCATAGTACCGAGCCAAAGTGTTTAGAACTCATGGTTTATGGATTTAAAAAATATTTAAAAATTACACGAGACAGAAGGCTGTGGATAAACATGACTACCAGTGCCATGGACTGTTAAAAGTTAATGTTGCATTTGAGACTACACATGAATTGAGAATTAGCTCTAGAGTATGATGACTGGAAAGATGAGATGATCATCGAAAATTAAACACACACAAATAAAGAGAGGCAAGAAAGAAATATCATTATGCAGAAAAAAAACAAAGAAAGAAAAAGAGTGACCTACTTTTCTCGAATTTTACAGTTGTGCCCTGTCACCATCATATGATCAGTTATTGCAACTAAATTTACTCAGGGGCCAGCATGTTGAATATGGGGATGGTCATGGGCCAGGAAGGCCTAGCCCAAGCTTCGAAAGATCAATAATACAAAATACAACTGGCAATGATCCTGGGTCAGATTTTGGCCTTTGGCCTGCCAGCTGAAAAGCCCAGATGCACATAGTCCTTTACAAAACATTTCTTTTATCACAGCCTGCATGAAAGAAATATGGTCCCTCACCCCCCCCCCCCCCCCCTTTCTCATCCTGCCTGGAATATTAACTCTACCCAATATGTCTCCCACATCTTGTGCCTAACTTTCTGTGGAACAGCCTATCTCTTTCCCAGTAAGGTGCCTTTCATTATTGTTCTTTCCAAGCCATTGCAACATTTGATATGGCTCAGTTATTTCAGTTTCTGAGACAGGATGTCATTTATGAGCCAGTCTTCTTGAATGTTCAGTTGATTTAGAATTTCAAGATTTGAGACAGGAAGATATCCACACATAAAAGGAGAAATAGATATAGAATGTAAGGACTGGAAAAATTAGATCATCTCATCAAAGGGGCACGAGAAATGGCAGGAAACAATGATGAAGAAGAAAAAGAAAGATTAAGAAAAAGAAGAAAAAAGAAGAGTATGCATGATCTATTTATCTTGAATTTCACAGAGTAATATTCAGTGTTGAAAACAAAGATGTGTGTAGTCCAGCCTATGAGCACTTTCTGGCAAATTTGGAAGACCTTGTTACAGTTGATGAGGGTCCGGTTAGCTTCACAGCCAAGAAATATAGCGCTGACCTTCCTCAGTTTTTTCACTATCAGAGAGTCAAAGAATTGGTGAGTGACTTTGTAAAACTTGAAATTAAAATGTTTGTGCCCTTTCACAACAAATATTAAAAGTTTAATTAAGAATTGACATAGCACACATGACATTCCCATAATCACTTCGTCCCCACTTCAGCAGCAAGCAGAGAGTTCAAATTCCAATGGGGCCAGTACCAGTCTGATCGTATATCCATCTCGCCATTCCCTTGATTGTTGAGCATCGGCCAGATCCCCTGGCCACTCCTTGCAGCATCATTTTCCTCAGACCGTGATGAAATATGTGTGCCTCTGAACTGTTCATTCGCTCCCAAAGGACCCTGTAAAAGTAAAGTTGCCTTTGGCGCACCCACCGTTGCCGTGGTAATTCTACGTGAAAAGGGGCAGATTTTTTCTACATCGCGGCTCTCATACTAGGGCCCAAAAGTCATGAGAATAGTTCATTTTTATATAGGTAAACCCATCACCTTAGAAAGGGGTGCTCTGTGGTCTCGAGGCATGGCGGCTGGGATATTTTGACGTGGACTTGGACTTCTAGTAATTCCCCATGGTCTCTGGTAGTGTGATCGGACGCCTCTGTGCATTGTTGCGCACGTAAAAAAATCCCTTGGCAGTTGGAAATCAAAAAGAGTAGCTTAACGGCGCTGCCCTGGCAAAATTTGGAGGTAAAAATCTACCCAAACTATTTCAGGATCCTCGTCTGTGCATTGTGTTGAGCTTCTTGGGACCCAGGCTTGAGTTAGAAGAACGGAGCACTTATGGGTTACACCCGTGTGCTGTGATCCGTTGTAAAGGACCTCACTTTAGAAATTGAACCCTCTTACATCTAGGATCTGAAATTTATGAAACTTGGACAATTCTTCCTTTGTTTGGGTTCCTCGGGCTCCGCTTTGGAGAACAGACTTACTGCTCCCCCCCCCCCCCCCAACAAGCATGTCACAGGTTAGGGGGCGACTTATTTTATAGGTGTTTCTTTCTTTTAGTTGGAGTGCATCTGCTCTGAGGAAAGGAACCAGCAGTCTGATTACAAATAAGCCAGATCAGCCTGTGAAATGAATGTGCTCACAAAACGCAAGTTTTGGATCAAGACCCAAGTCCTGGAGTGGGTGAACAACCAGAACTGTCTGCTGGAGTTTACAGCTGGTGAACGCTCAGAAGAAGACAACTGTAACTCATTTGCTGTCATGTAGCTTACCTTCTGATGTATAGTGACTGTCATCATCATCAATTTCAGATACTATGCATTCGTTTACAGATCTTCATGTTCTTAGTGTTACTCCACCAGGACATCACACAGAGCGATAAACACCCAGTGACACAAAGTGCCACCATGCGGATGAGGATCACCCGTGGAGAGGTCCCAGAAACCCTGATCAACCGTTACGTTATATTAGGGCTCCCAGCAACAGCCAGGGTGGGGCTTCAAAATAATTTTAAAAAATGGCATCCCACAAGGGACTGTTTTTTTTTTTTTTTAAATGTTCTTCCACAATCAGCAGTTATAAGGAAACCGCCATAGTGTAGCGGCTAGACATTTACCTGCAGGCCCAGAATTGTGGGTTCATGTTGACAATGAGCCAGATTTTTTGTTTTTGTTTTGTTACAGGACTTTAGCTCCTGTGTTGACCCAGCCTAAAATGGGTACCAAGTAAAGTTCTGGGAAGTAAAGGTGGTCAGCGTGATGCTGACTGCATCACACACATCAAGGGCAAAATGATCTATTACAAAAATGTGTCTGGGGCACTATATACCCTATACGCCTAAAGGTGTGGAAAATGGTTCTTTACTTTTATCAACAGTTATTTGACAAAAGATGTCAATAATATATTAGGCATATTATGAGGCGAAGTGGACAGAGAATTGCTAAGCAGGAACTGAAATGGGAGCCAGATTGAGCAGACGAGGACATCCAAGAGAAACCATAAAATGAAACTTCTTGAGAGAGGCCAAGGGTGCTGGACTGGATTCAGTCCATGATTTTAAAAGGATTGCACAGGACAGAACAGAATGGAGGAATGGACCGTAGTGAGTCCTGTGTGATATATAATGGCACAACAGAGAGGATATGTTCACTGCCATTAGATGTCAGTCCATGTGTCTGCCATTAGATGTCAGTCCATGTGTCTGTTTGAATTCATGCCTCTTCTTTAATTTAGTTAAAATGTTGGTCTGGTTCTAAACTGGGCATATCCCCCCACTGAGACAGCAAAAAAAAAAAGATTTATACATGAAAATAATGTTCAATTTGCAGGAGCAAAACAAAGATTTATACATGAAAATAATGTTCAATTTGCAGGAGCTTTGGAAAATTTCTTCACAAGTATCGTGAGGCAGCACAGCTGGATTAGAGAACTTAGTAACAGATGAGGCCTCCAAGAAATCCAGCATCTATCAGAAATGAACAAAATCTGGCCAGAGATGACTACCACTTACTTGCCAGCATGGACAGGTCATCATTTTATGCCTAAGGACAGGACATAAAAAAAACTTAGCAATCATATGTACAGGCTTAGTCTAACTGGTTCATCATTGTACCTTTGTGGGCTGTATGTGCAAACTGCAAAACATGTCCTGCAAATCTATCATGTGCAGCCTATTAAGAAGGCGGTACAGGCCCAATGAGTTAACGCCCTACTCAAAGTTGTATGGAACTAAAAGGGAACTCCAAAAAGAAGACAATTTATCACAAGAACTCGACGTCTGTCTGTGTAAATCTGAGAGCTAACATAAAAATAAGAATCTAGGATGTATGATACGGGTTGCAAAAAAAAAAAAAAAAAAGATTAGAAAAAGCAGGACTTATTTGCCACAAAGACAAAGCATCACAAACCATAGTTATAACCAAGGCATTGACAAAGCGGGTTAAACGTGGTCAACACTTTCTCTCTCTCTCAAAAAAAAAAAAGTCCTGAATCGCAGCAGTTAACTTTTTTAAGTACAAAGCAACTCAGCATGCATTGAAGTGGGTGATAATCAGCACCACTGAACTTCAAGAGCTCCAAATGCCAGAGAAGAAGATTATGCCATTGTACATAACTAAAATCTTGATTGTATTTTAAATAAAAACACATCCAGACATCAAAAAGGTGATTTACTTGATTTAATAATGACAACATGAGTGATTCAATACAAACTCACAGAAGCTTGTGTCACTGCCACCATTGTTGATGCACCTGATTAATCTGTTTGCAAGTGCATTCAGCAAAAGCATCATCACCACCTTTACAATCTGAGCATGAGGATGGATGGTGTAGTAGAAACTTTACACAACTTCAATTATAAATAATATAAATATACAGAAAAAAAACCACCCAATCGTTTGTTCAGACGTTGTCATCAACTTCTGCTAGAAAAGAACTATCCTCAACACACAATTTCATAAAGAAAAAGATCAAATCTACAGCAGGAAAAACTAGTTGAAACAAACTAAATAAACCTCTGAGAGGGAGGAAATTAAAAACGGTTTAAAAGATTATGTACATTTGAATGAAAATAACATAACTTTTTTTTCTTTGTCTTCTGCTGCCTTAAATATAAGTGAACCTGAAATAAGACCGATTCAGACTATTTTATTCAGGAATCTTTAGTATGTATATTGTGAACATATATATTACATTCTTCAGGAATCTGCCATTTGTATCTGCAAGGAATTACAAGTGTTACACGTTGATCTCATAGTTTTTTTTTTTTGGTAGTTTTCTGTAATATTTTAAACTGACACATTTTCACACATTCTCTCTCCATCCCAGTTACTTTTCTTAATAAAAACATTTTTCTTATTCAAAACAAACAAGTCCAAAATATTAAAGTTAAAAAGGCTAACTGGTAAAGAGAGAAATCAAACATAACAGAAACAATATACATATTTTGATATTCAAAAGCAAATCTGTCACACATCCAGTCAATAGCAGACACATAAAGGCTGAATTGGTGTTATAATGGCTCTATGTAGTAAACCTCAACAGTAACATATTGATACCCTGGCTATGGCACAGTGGTTTATGAGGTAACAGTTTTGGCACTTGTGTTGCCTTCTATATTCACCAGAGGTCCTCTTGTCCCCTACAGTTTCTGGACTAGAACACTTGTTACTGTGTCTGACAGTAGTTTTCTTACAAACTAGCATTTTGTTACTCAGTGTCTGACTATAGTTTCATTGTAGACTAGCATGTCTGTTACTGTGTCTGACAGTAGTTTTCTTACAAACTAGCATTTTGTTACTCAGTGTCTGACTATAGTTTCATTGTAGACTAGCATGTCTGTTACTGTGTCTGACAGTAGTTTTCTTACAAACTAGCATTTTGTTACTCAGTGTCTGACTATAGTTTCATTGTAGACTAGCATGTCTGTTACTGTGTCTGACAGTAGTTTTCTTACAAACTAGCATTTTGTTACTCAGTGTCTGACTATAGTTTCATTGTAGACTAGCATGTCTGTTACTGTGTCTGACAGTAGTTTTCTTACAAACTAGCATTTTGTTACTCAGTGTCTGACTATAGTTTCATTGTAGACTAGCATGTCTGTTACTGTGTCTGACAGTAGTTTTCTTACAAACTAGCATTTTGTTACTCAGTGTCTGACTATAGACTAGATAGCATTTCATTGTCTGACAGTAGTTTCTTTAGCATTTCGGTGTCTGACTATAGTTTCATTGTAGACTAGCATGTCTGTTACTGTGTCTGACTATAGTTGTAGACTAGCATGTCTGTTACTGTGTCTGACTATAGTTTCATGTCTGCATGTCTGTGTCTGACAGTAGTTTTCTTACAAACTAGCATTTTGTTACTCGGTGTCTGACTATAGTTTCATTGTAGACTAGCATGTCTGTTACTGTGTCTGACAGTAGTTTTATTGTAGACTAGCATGTCTGTTACTGTGCCCGACAATAGTTTCATTGTAGACTAGCATGTCTGTTACTGTGTCTGACAGTAGTTTTCTTACAAACTAGCATTTTGTTACTCGGTGTCTGACTATAGTTTCATTGTAGACTAGCATGTCTGTTACTGTGTCTGACAGTAGTTTTCTTACAAACTAGCATTTTGTTACTCGGTGTCTGACTATAGTTTCATTGTAGACTAGCATGTCTGTTACTGTGTCTGACAGTAGTTTTATTGTAGACTAGCATGTCTGTTACTGTGCCCGACAATAGTTTCATTGTAGACTAGCATGTCTGTTACTGTGTCTGACAGCAGTTTTATTGGTTACTGTGTCTGACAGCAGTTTTATTGTAGACTAGCATGTCTGTTACTGTGCCCGACAATAGTTTCATTGTAGACTAGCATGTCTGTTACTGTGTCTGACAGTAGTTTTATTGTAGACTAGCATGTCTGTTACTGTGCCCGACAATAGTTTCATTGTAGACTAGCATGTCTGTTACTGTGTCTGACAGTAGTTTTATTGTAGACTAGCATGTCTGTTACTGTGTCTGACAGCAGTTTCTTACAAACTAGCATTTTTGTTACTGTGTCTGACTATAGTTTCATTGTAGACTAGCATGTCTGTTACTGTGTCTGACAGTAGTTTTCTTACAAACTAGCATTTTTGTTACTGTGTCTGACTATAGTTTCATTGTAGACTAGCATGTCTGTTACTGTGTCTGACAGTAGTTTTCTTACAAACTAGCATTTTTGTTACTGTGTCTGACTATAGTTTCATTGTAGACTAGCATGTCTGTTACTGTGTCTGACTATAGTTTTATTGTAGACTACTAGCATGTCTGTTACTGTGTCTGACTATAGTTTCATTGTAGACTAGCATGTCTGTTACTGTGTCTGACTATAGTTTCATTGTAGACTACTAGCATGTCTGTTACTGTGTCTGACTATAGTTTTATTGTAGACTACTAGCATGTCTGTTACTGTGTCTGACTATAGTTTTATTGTAGACTACTAGCATGTCTGTTACTGTGTCTGACTATAGTTTCATTGTAGACTAGCATGTCTGTTACTGTGTCTGACAGTAGTTTTCTTACAAACTAGCATTTTTGTTACTGTGTCTGACTATAGTTTCATTGTAGACTAGCTTGTCTGTTACTGTGTCTGACTATAGTTTTATTGTAGACTACTAGCATGTCTGTTACTGTGTCTGACTATAGTTTCATTGTAGACTAGCATGTCTGTTACTGTGTCTGACTATAGTTTTATTGTAGACTACTAGCATGTCTGTTACTGTGTCTGACAGCAGTTTTATTGTAGCAGGTTGTTACTGTTATTGTAACTGACAGTATCATAAAACTATCAGGTTGTTACTGTTAATGTAACTGACAGTATCATAAAACTGTAGCAGGTTGTTACTGTTTATGTAACTGACAGTATCATCCCACTTTAGCTTAGATAATTCTGTAACAGTATTATCCCACTCTGATCTGCTTAGTTCTGTAACAGTATTATCCCACTTTATCGTGCTTGTTACTGTAACTGACAATGGTTTACACACTTAATAATACCCCTTTAGGTAAAGGCAAGTTTTTGGCCTCCTACAGAAGTAACAATCACCCATGCCAGAAGCCCTAAAACACTTTTTTCAGTTACATTAACTCAAATATGGCTTTCATCAAACTGGAATCCTCGTCACTAAAGAAGTACACTACAAAACGCTTTCTCCTTGTCTCCTCATTCAAATACTTTCAACAAACCATAGAACTGCAAGCATTATATGCTCTTCCTTTAAAATATGTGCCAGGATAAATCAAAACAACAAACATCTTTGTTAAACATCACAACAACAGGGAGGCACAAAGGATACAACAAGATGAGGCAAAGCCTTGAAGAACAACGTATGCAATTTATATTCATAAATAAATACACCCACATTCGCACAGCAGTGGAAACGGCCACAAGACTAAAATGAATTTTTAAAAAAGCGTTAAATATGCTAGTTTCTTTTCTGGTTGGTGTGGTGGCTCAGGAGATGCAGCATTCATCTCATTCTATGGGATGTGGCGTAAGTTTCCACACATCGTTTAAGTTTCCATACAGGAAAAATAAACGTACTTTTTTTTCTGAAAAACATTTGTATTTATATAACATGCTCTATTTAACTCTCTCTAGCAAACCTCTACACCCCAAGATTAGAAGAGGAGCGACTCAGTCAGTCTTCATAACTACCATTAGTTTTGAAAAACAATGTGATGCATATCCTCAACTGCTGACAAAGATGCTGAAGCACAGCTGGAGTTATGCTTGTAATGATGATGGTGATATATTTATGTTTCCTATGTATGGAATCACATGATACATACACCCTCTAAGTGTGACCAACCAATTCTTTACTGCCTGCATTTACCACTTTTAGGGTGGTGCAGGAGAAATAGTTGTCAGCTGAAAGATT